TCTCTACTGTGAGTGCTTTTTTTTTTTTCCTCTGTAGTGCTTTTAAGAGAGCAATGGCTTTACTCACCTCATGGTTTTGCAGCTCTTGACCGTGTAGCCTTTCCAGATTGGCAGAGCAGCTGCTGTCTCACCAGTTCTGCTACCAGTGTTGCACCTCTCTAGCATTACAGGAAGGTCAGAGAGGTTAAGGACCTTCACCATCTGCTCTGTGTGTATGTTGGGGGGGGCACTTGGGACTGAACCCAGGGTCTTTGCACTAAGCTACACTCCCAGACTTTTTTTTTTTTTTTTTACTATAGGGTCTTCCTAAATTATAAAATTTTTGACCCTTCTGCTCCAGCACCCCATGTTGCTGGGATTACAAGTGTGTACCTGCACTCCTGACTCTTTTTCTGCCTTTTACTGTCAAAAGCTTTTGAGTTTTTTTTTTGCAACAGCATCTCTATCAAGGAGGGGTTAAAAAAAAATCACACAATCCAGTTGGACAACAGACTCTAAAACCTTTCAGAATCATGAGATTCGTCGGGGGAGGAGATGGAGGCAGGAAAAGCAGTAAACTCTGGACGATAGGTTGGAACTAAAGAGGGGAGTCCCCAGATGTAATGCCAAGGAACAATGGTAGACTTGTTTGGTGACCACCAAAAGCCAAGGCGTAGGAGGTGGTGGAAGTGGGAATTAATATTTCATTTCCAAATAAGATGTGATTAAACAATCTACAAGGAGTGGTCTAAAAATATGGTGAAAGAGAATTTTAAACATTTATTACAGTAAAAGACATATCAGCATTAATCTACTTTAAAATATTACCCCTTGCTCTGACCACTCACCCCATCATTCTTGCCACTTCCGGAAGCAATTCTGGAAGTCCCCTTTCATGCATGTCTTTAGGAGGGATGATGAAAAATACAGTGAATGCTGCTGCTAAGTACCATCCACCGCAAAGGCAGGCTCATAAAAACTCTATGTGTCCTCATCCATCTATTCACAAGGCTTGGTACCAGAAAACTTCTGGCACTTCCCCAAAATCAAAATGACAGTGAAACATAAACATTTTTGATTGATTCAAGATATCAAGACAGTCACAATGGCAAACCTAAAGATACTCATGAAGGAGGACTTTTAGGACTGCTTTAACCATTATTTGTTTGGTACAGGGTCTCGCTACGCAGCTCAGATTCATAGTGATCTTTCTGTCTCAGCCTCCCTGGCACTGGGATTACATGCTACCATGCTCAGTTTCGGTGGCTGCCATGGCATGCAGTACCAAGGATTGAACCCCGGTCCTTACCCTTGCCAGGCAGGCACCTGGACTGCCGAGCTATCTCCCCAGTGCTAGAACTGCTTTTAAAAGTGGCAAGAAAGATGGGATAAATGTCTGTGAGTTGAAGGGACTATTTTGAGGGGATTAATGGCTACGTGTCTTTTATTGTTATAATTTTTTTTTTTTTTTTTTTTGGTGGAACTGAGGTTTTGAACTCAGGTCCTTGTGCTTGTCAGGCAAGCGCTTATTCTACTGAGCCATTTCCCTGGCCACTATTGTTATAAATTTTTAAAATTTAAGCACTGTTACAGCTTGTGTCTAGATGTCATTCAGAGCCTCACATGCGCATAGCTTTTTGGAGGTGACTGGATTGTGGGTGTGTGAATGTGAATTTTATTTATTTATTTATTTATTTATTTATTTATTTATTTATTTTGATACCAGGAATCAAATTCAGGACCTTGTGCTTACTCAGATGCTTAAGCCACTGAGCTATCTCCCTGGCAATGAATGTAGATTAAGTGTGTGATACTGGGATTAAGGATGTGTGGCACTAAATTAGTCCACTGATTGGAATTAGCATAGCCCTGGGCATGGATAATGGCACCAGTCAATTTATATCCTGAGTGGAAAACAAGAGGAGGGAGGGAAGGCAGGCTTGCTGCTGCTGCTGCTGCTGCTGCTGCTTGCTGCTTCGCTGTCTCCTGCCTGCTTGGCATGAACTATTTCTCCTCTGTAGTGTTCCTCTGCTGTGTCACCCTGCCTTGGGGCCAGTGGAGTACGGACTGAACCTCTACAAATTGTAAGTGGAAATAAACTTTTTTCCTTTAACTTTGGGTGTTGGGTATGTTGTCCTAGCAAAAGGAAAATAGCTTAGACAAATACACACCATATTTTCCAAGACAATTCATATTATGCAAAAGGCTTTATTAGCTTAGAAGAGTTCCTAGGTCTCTACTGAGCTATACTTGGCCTGTCTCCATCAAATTGTGAGTTTACCCAAGTTTGAATTGAGCTTCTTCATTCAGTTGCCCATCAATTGAGCCTACATGCCTGGGCTGTAGCAAGGTGGGGGTTCAGACGTGTACAAGAATAGCTATAAATATGATGCACAAACTCCAACCCCAAAACAAAACAACATGTGGGAATTAGAAGGAGAAGAGGAGGTGCAGGATGCTATGAGAATGGATAACAAGAAATCTGGCCTAGGTGGAGGTAGGTAGTATGGGGGATGGTGGTGTCAGTGAGAGTTTTAGGAGGAATTGATATTTAAGCTGAAACTTCAGGGATAAATGTCAATAGCATTTAGGCTGGGAAAGTAGCCAGGGTTCCAACCAGAAGGAATAGATGTGCAAATGTCCTGAGGTAGGAAAATGCTTGCTTGTTGGAGGGTAGAGAGAGGGCTAGAATTCCAATAGATTTGCCTTTCTCTTCCTTGTCCAAATTTCCCATCCCTGGCACTAGAAAAATCTCCAAGTATACCAGGCCTTTTGGAACATGGGGGAGAATCTTGCTGGCTTGTGACCACAGCAGAGCTCTTGGGTTGGATGAGTTCTTGGATGGTTGCATGGGAAAGACTTTGGGTGGGGGTGGGGTTGGCTGGAGCTGGTCAGAGGGGTTCAAACAGCTGCTGAGGAGGGTGGAGAGGATGAAAAGGAGGGTAAGCTTGGAACTTCTGGCTTTGCCCTTTCTGGGAAAGGGTAAGAGCCTTGATAGGTGACCATGCCAGAGTGTGATGTGAATTAGAGGTGCTTGCCTAGCCACTGGAAAAGCCAAGTGCGTTGCCTCAGTGCCTAGACCTTGGGAACCCCGGTGTCCCACCCCCAACACTCTCAGGAACTTCACCATTCACACAGCATTCCTCTAGTGCACCCACTGTGACCCTTGCCCTCCCCTGGGTACAGAGACCCATCAAGCCTGGCTCTTCCAAGAAGTCGAGTTCAGATGGAAATAGTTACCATAAGGTGTCAAGCTGCAATTTTCTTGTCTGGGAAATTCAACAGTAGTAATAGGATCTGCTCCAAAGGGTTGATGTTTGGATAAAGTATTTATCAGTGCCTGGAGGAAGTCATGCTTGGTAGAGAGAAAGCTCTGGACCAGCTGGGCCTCAAAAGGATCTGGCTATGGTTCTGGCCTCATCAGGTCAGGGACAGGTTATGAGGAGGAGAAATTAACCAAGTTGCCCACCCCATCTGCTCCTAGGTGGCCGGAATGGTCTTAAGGTGGTCCTCAAGACCTTGCCCCATTCAGCTTTCTCCTTTCTCTGGCTTCCTTCAGTCCCTTGGGTCACAGGGTTTTTGCAGGTGTGGTTTCTTCCTCTGGAACACTTTTTTCTTGTTTCTTCTCTAAGTTAGTCCTTCTCCAGCTTCATATCTAACCTTAAGTGTCATTTCCTCAGGGAAGTTGTCCTACCTTGGTGTTTCATAGACGCTGCCTCTTTCTGCAACTTGAAATAATTATTTTTTGGTGCGATCATAGGACTGATGACTTTCTTCTCTGCCGGTATGTAAACCCCATGAAACAGGGGCTTCATCAGGTTTTGGGCACCGGTGGACCCAGCGGACCTGTTCTTACATTAGGCACTGTAAATATTTGTGGAATGAATGAATGGGTGCAAAAAAAACATGGCTAATTAAGGATCTTTATAGTGTACTTACTGTGTACCAGTACTGAGCTGTGTGTGTGTGTGTGTGTGTGTGTTTGTAGTACCGGGGATCGAACTTGGGACCTTCCGCTTGCCAGGTAGATATTTAAGCCACCGAACTATCTGCCCGGCCCTGAGCTCCAATTTTTAAGTTTCACATATTAATTACTGAATCAATCAAATGGTCCAGAGCTTAGAAACAAAAGAGAAAGTCTAATTTCCAATAAAACATGTCCAGTTGCGCAGACAGCAGTGGCTTCTTTCTGAGCTAGATACGGTGAACCGGAAGTGCGCCACCTCCTGTGCCATTTCTCCTAGACCCAGTTTTGTTCTCTTCTAGGCTCTCCTCTTGGAGAAGATCCTGGCTTTGTTACCAGTTTATCTGAATCCGTTGAGGAAATGGGACAATTTTGCTTTTAGGACTTGGCCAGGCCTAGCTTGATTTGAAAGTGCTGTGAGAAAACCTGGTGAAGAACAGGTATGCATACAGCTGCGTTCTTGACTCACATTATCTTAATCTCTCCAACAATCCCCTGGAGGAGGTGGGGAGGTTTTCCTCTAACGGAAACAGAGGAGAATTCATTTGAGTGAGGTTAAGGGCCTTGCTCAAGGTTACTCTGCTCTTGGGGGTAAGGGGGGGCAGGATTCACATTCAGGTGCCTCGGACTCCAAAGGGGAAAGGGGGCGGGGAGGTGAGTCCAGATTGGGATGGGGGCGCTTTGGAGCCCGCGCAGCAGACCCGGGGAGGGAGCCCGCGCCTCGCTGGCCCGGCTCCAAGCCTGTGGTGCAGCGCCCGCCCCCGGTCGCGGGCGCAGTCTGGCGGCCGCCTCCGGACCACGTGGTGCGCGCGGCGGGCGCGTCCGAGGAGCCCGCAGCGGCTCCTGGCTCACATTGCTGGGGCTTGGAGAGCCGGCAGACGCTGTGGGCAAGAGCGGTGCGGGCGGCAAGGCAGAAAGAGGCGGCGCGGAGAAAGCTGGGCTGCCCGAACGCTGCAGCCGGCGGCGTCGAGGCCGTGGCCTCGGCCCTTCGAGCACCTCTCGCGCCAGGTCCTTGCGCCCAGGGCGCACGGTGGAGAGGGACCGTGCACCGGCCGCCATGGAGCCGACCCCTTCGGCGGGCGCCGAGCTGCAGCCCTCGTTCCTGCCTAACGCCTCGGATGTCTACTCCAGCACCTTCCCCAGTGCGGGCACCAATGCGTCGGGGCCGCCCGGGGCACGGAGCGCGTCGTCCCTTGCCCTGGCGATCGCCATCACCGCGCTCTATTCGGCCGTGTGCGCCGTGGGGCTGCTAGGCAATGTGCTCGTCATGTTTGGCATAGTCCGGTGAGTCCGCTGTGGGCTAATGCCGCACATCTGGGCCCCGAGGTGAGGGTGGGGAGCACAGATTTGGCATCTGGACCCGGACTCTCTGGGCCCCGCATTGCCAGTCGGTTGCCTGGGACCCAGGGGGAAGGCCACTTCCTCTGAGAGGGGGACGCAGGAATGTGTATCGGGCTGTGTATGTTCCTGCTTGATCTAGCCTAACTGGATGGCATCCCCTTGCTTCTTCATCAGGGTTGTGGGACAGTTTGGCAACAGTTTTGTGTCTGTCCTGGGAGAGCATGTGTGGTTCTCACATGAATGGGGGAAGAAGCTCTCCAGTGTCTTGGGGGTTTGGGACCCCCTTGAGTGTGAGCCCTGAGGAGGAAACTCGAGCAGGACGGGGTTGTAGGTCTGCAGCAAGCCTTGGGGCTACAAATCATCTGTCGGGATCTCTCTTGGTGTGTGTCCCATACTGTCATTTTGTAATTTTCTCTGTATGAGAACATAAAAATAATGACTTTTTTTAAAAAAAAAATCAAATCCCTGAATCCCCACCGGAAAGGGACATCCAGTGGGGCTTTGGGCAGGCACTGCCTCTAGGCAGTGGTTGCCAACCGAACGCCCTGGGCTTCTGGATACAACCGGCCAGGCTGTGGCCGTTAGGTCAGTCCTCTGTTCCCTTTCCCTGTAGCCATCAGGTCAGGAACTCTCAGGAGCCTCAGGTCCTCCTCACAAATGCCCCCTCCAGCATTCTCTCACCTTCTGAACCTTTTTTTCTGCAAGGCAGCAGTGGTTGTTTGCAAGGAGTGGGTATGTGCTTTCAGCCCTCAAAGAGAGGTTCTCTTCTTGGTGTCTGTGGACAGTGCCAGGTCGGCTTGCGTCAGCTCACCCCAGCTTGTCCCCCTTTGCACCTACCCACCAGCTCAGACGTGGGCGGAAAGGGTTGGGAAGAAACTGCCATCCTTCAACAAGAAGGATGCCGGGGGATTTGATGCTTGCTAGAAGTGGGTTTTGCATGCTGGTTGACCAGGGACACATCCCAGAGTTCTCCAGGCTGTTGTACCATGAGGCAGGGCAGAGGGCAGATCATGGGCTGGGAGAGTGGAGCTGTGAGCTGTGAGCTTTGGCTGCAGCCCCGTCACCGAGGCCCAGGTCCGTTCCCCTTGTCCCACCTCCTTTCTGCCTCAGTTTCTCTATTGAAGAATAGAGAACCAATCTTGACTAGAAAGTGTGAATTCCACAGTGTGGGGTCTATGTGGGCAGAATGTGGTGTGTTAGATGGTGGAGCAGGATGTGTAGGATTCAGGAGGCTTTGGTATTGATGTCCTCTTTGCTTGCCCAGAAAGAGTAGAGTGGATTGGGGTGTAGTTTAGTGATAAAGCACTTGCCTATTTTGTGCAAGGCCCTGATTCCATCCCCAGCATTGAGAGAGACAGAGAGACAGAGACAGACAGAGAGACAGAGAGAGTCAGACAGAAGGAGAGAAAGAGACAGAGAGAGAGAGACAGAGAGAGTCAGACAGAAGGAGAGAAAGAGAGAGAGAGAGAGAGAGAGAGACAGAGAGAGACAGAGACAGAGACAGACAGACAGACAGACAGACAGAGGTACAAGACTTTCACTGCTTTCAATGACTCATCACCAGCTACAGTGGGGAAATTTCTCCAAGCAGAGGAAGGGTTGATCTTTGCTTTGTGTGTTCGTCAGTGTTTCCCCACTCTGTAGGCTTCCAGTTGAGCCAACCTAAGTATTCATCCCTGCTGTGTCATGAGCTGGCTCTGTGATTTGGGCAAGTCTCAGCCTTGTTGAGCCACGCTTTCTTCATCTGTAAAATGGGGCGGTAACAGAACTCTCTTCAGTAGGGTCATAGTGAGGTGTCCGTAAGCGGACACATGCAGTGCAGCTGGTGTGCTGCCAGGACCCAGCAAACGGAAGCTGTTTGTACAGTGGTGAGGAGGAATTTTCCAAACCCTGCCGAACCCAGGGCTGATGAAAGCAGGGAGGATAAGGGAGACGCTTGTCCTAAAGTGGACTCAAGAATCACTTCAGTTCAGAGTTCCAGGTTCCTGGTGTGAGCTTTCTCTAGGGGCGCTCCAGGAGCACCAGGTGGGAAAAGCTGAACACCAGTGTGTTCCCATTTCCAGCTTTCTCCCCAGGGCTCCGGTGCTGGCTGATGCACACAGCTTGCCCATTACCACTGAGCATGGTGAGGGCCTCTCACTTCTCTGTGTCGCCTCTAGGGAGGCTCTAGGCTCAGGCTGCTAAGTGCATTTCCCAACCAGCCTTCTGAAAATCACAGTGTCAAGTAAATGCAAATGACATAGCTGGCCCCATAGGTCTCTAGTGCTAAGATATTCCCTTGGCCAACCATCTGCAGGAGAACTGTCTGGCTCTGAAAATGATTTACTCCTCAGCCACAACCTGTATGGCAACCATTAGGGTCATTAGTGTCATCATTTGTCCCTATATATAGCAAGGAGGAGGAATCTGCCGCTCAGAGGCAGAGTCACCAGTTCTTGGGTACCACAGCTAGCACCAGACCCAGGGCTAGAACCCTGTTCTTGTGACTCCAGGTCCAGAACTGTATTCCAGAGCTGCCTGGGTAAGGCTCAGGCAAAGGATTACATGAAGAAGGATGGCAGAGTCCTGTCCCATCTCTTGTCCTAGGCTTCTCAGGGCATGATGGAGGCCCGAAGACAGTGACCCTGTCTGTTATTTAGCTGGTGCACTTTAGGCTGAGGTCCTGGGAGGGGGAGCTGAGAGGACACCTTGGGACTGGGCAGCTGTCTTGGGGTTCAGCTCCTGCTGGGCAAGTCCCCTGTGCAGTGGGAAATGGGCAGCAAAGGATGGAGAGAAAAGCTCTGGTTGCCCACAAGGGCTCCTTGAATTCTGGTCTGTGATTCCCGAGTGCCCAAATAAATGAGTTGGCAGTTTGATTAAATGAATGCATCAATAAATGAATGAATTGTACCCATCAGTCCTGAGCTGAGGCAGCTTAGGGGAAAGTTTCCAAGGGAAGTCCCTGAGAATCCTCAGGGCAGCAGAGGGGGTAGTGTAGTTGGCAGAGGTGGGGTCCTAAAGCCTGAATTGGAATGCACTTACTTGCTGTGTGTGCGGGCTACACAGCCACTCTGGCTTTCTGAGGTTCATTGCCCCATCTGTAAAGTGGGAATAACAACCATATATCCAGGGCTGGGCTGAGGCTTTAATGAGATAAAATATGAAATCTGACTCTTTTAGATTCTGAAAACAAGGAGGAGCTCTGTGTGAAGAAGTGAATTAGTTCATCCAGTAAATTCTGTGGACTTGTACAGTGGGGGGGTGACTCTGGTGACCCAATGTACAACCCTGGCCCTGTGGGAAGCTAAGACAGGAGGATTGCAGATTCTAGCTCAGCCTGGGTGATTTCGAGACTTAGAACTTGTTTTACTTTTTTTTTTTTTTAAATGTATTTAGTACAGGGTCTCCAGGGTCTCACTACACAGATCAGACTTATAGCAATTCTTCCTGTTTTTCAGCCTCCCAAGCATTGGGATTATAGGCAAGTGCCACCACGCCCAGTCTCAGTCACTGTCTCAGTGTGACCTGGGGATGGGGCTGGCACAGCAGGCGGGGATTGAATACCTGGTCCCTGCATCTGCCTAAGCAAGTACTCTAATCCTCTGAGCTTTCTGGCCGTTCTTATGTACTTGTTTTAAAATAAAAAATAAGGTTTGGGATGTAGCTCAGTGAAAAGGCTGCTGATTCAATCCCTAGTTAAACACACACACACACACACACACACACACACACACACCCCAATCCGTTGGCCCTCTTGGAGCTTTGGTTGTGATAGGAGAAACACACATTCATCAGCTTGTTCTCCAAAAACCTGAAATTTTTTTTTTTAATTTTATTTATTTATTTGTGTGTGTGTGTGTGTGTGGCCAGCTCAGCCCACCAGGGGGCGGGGCTGGCTGGCATGTGGTGCTGGGGGATTGAACCG